GATTCTCATGCCTCCCCTGTGCTATGGTACTCTGTGAAGTTAATGGCTCCATAGTGCGTGCTGGGAGACTACAGCTCGCACAATATAGCAGTTGGTGTGAGGGCATGCTGAGACATCACAGTAGTATTTCCTCTGCTCCCTGATCCTCATTTCTTCCCCCATAAATATAAATCAGAAAGCAAGACCTACCTGTGGTGGAGCAAACCTTAATATAGCCACTCCTTTTATGGTGTGGCATGTCTCTGGCACTCTGTTGGTGGTAGTGGTAAATGTTGATGCCTGCTGCAGCCCATACATGTATAGGGACCTCTTCCTCTTTGCCACAGCATTCAGAAGTGGATCGGTGGGAGGAAGGCCATGTATGTGTGTGGGCAGGCGCCATCTTAATATAGGTCCCACGCACAAGTGGCTTTTTTTAAAACCCCTGCAGTGACATTTCGTGTATAAGATGACCCTAATTTTCATATCATATGTTTTCACATATTACTAATACAGACACACTTAGCTCCATACAATGGGCAATGTAATTGGAAAGTCTAGACACAGATTAAAATTACCAAGAAGGAATACTCCCTGCTAGTAATTATTTTTTTCTTTTAGAAAAGTCTATATCAGTACAAGACCCGTTGTAATACGTGAGTTGAACCAAAGTCCAAATGCGTCAAAAAATAACATGAAAAAGAGACTGGTAGTCTACCAGAATCTTTTGGTGTGTGACAGCCATCCATGATGAATTAGCTATAAAGATGGTGAATTTCTATATAATTTTTGTCATGGATTTCAATTTACCCCTTAGATAAAGTGGAATTAGTAATGAAGTTTATTGTGATGCAATGACGCTATTAACTGATCAATGTTTGTAAAATTGGTCATTAGGATAAGGTACACCCATCTAATCCCATTGGTCACTTCAAAAAGACCACACGAAAGAGTAAAGATAACCATTTCTTTAAAAGTGAGAACACAAAACTTTTAGGAGATGTTCAGAACATCATCAAATCATCATCAGATCAGACAAGGGAACACACTTCTGGACACATCCTTACTTCCACTCTTGGAAATAAGACTCTAACACTCTTTGTTAGCAAGACATATTGGACTTAGAAAGTTTACAGAACTGTTAACTTCCTGCTAAATTTCTCTCTAAACACTCTTACTTGCATTCACCATCCATTGGATCATATCTCCAGCCTACTTAAAGAATATTCTACTAAAAAAAAACTGGTGTTTATGCTGGTTTCATTTAATTTAATTATTTTTTACTAAAAGCAGAAATATACCTAAGTATTGCTGATCAGATTTCAAAACTTTTGACATCATATTTAGCTGAGGGAAGTATATATCATTCAAAATCCAGTCTGCAGATGAATGAGAATTTTGTACGATTTACTGGTAATTTGCCAAGTGTAGCATTTCAAGCTAATATCCAGAGATATTCATTTATCTTTGAAACAGCCATGTAAAAGTTAATTATCTGCAGCAAAACAATTAAAAACGTAGAACTTTTTTTTTTTGGTTTCTGGATGAAGAGGATAGGATAAGTTGGAGCATAGAGGATAGTTAAGTTGATTATTTATGAGGTTAAACATTGTATATTTTGTTTGCAATGCTTAAGTGTTTACTTTGTGAGAATTATAGCCAGCAGTGAGTTAATTCTCTGTGTACTGAGTCTAACTGCCTATCAGCATCTAGTTTTTACAACTTGGAGCTGTGCTGCGTAAAGCTCTGTGTTACATTCTGGATGCAATGAAATCCTAAAGCATAACTCTGGAATATTCCTGAAACATTGCTGAAATATATATATTTATGTTAAAATTATTGTTGATTAAATTCAGGTATTATATGTAATTTTTGCATGTAACTCCTTTAGAAATTAATCTAATTTATGTTGCTGGATACTGCTGCTGAAAGCTTGTTGATTATTCATGTACTGAAATTCATACTAATATTTGCTAGGAATATTGTCCCTACTGATGAATAATGTAGACTAAAAATCTCATCACCTTAAGACAAGTGGTTTAGGAATGATCTTTGTTGTGGTTATTGTTGCCATAATTGTCATCATATTTTATACTATTGTTATACCTAAATATTCACTGATTATTGTCATGCATGTTACATATTATTAATTATATATCACAATAAATTATATATTTTTTAATTGGTTGTGATTAATGTGTGAAATACAAATACTCTAATAAACATACTCCAGGTTCTATAAAAATAAAAATAACTCTTTGCTGTAAATCAGTCAAGGGGATACAGTGCCAAAATATAGATTTTTGATACTAATATTAATTAAATTTGATAATTTTTATAAAATATTATTTGTATTATTTATTACCACATACATTTCTTCACAGTGTAATAGCCCTTATTTGAAAATGAGAATTCTCACTTTTCAGATGAGTGTTCTTGCATCAGCCCAGCTTCCAAGTGATACCGATGACAGATAACATGGAGCAGAGGTTTTCAATTAAAATTTCCTGTGGAACACTTTAACATAGTTTACTAACATCATGGAACCCCCCTCCCCCCAAAAATTGCGCTATAACACAAACCTTTTAATTAGCGGAGTGTAATGTTTTCTTTTTTTACGCAAATTTTGTTTTTTTGGTATATATACAAGTATTTCTACAGATAGTAAACAAATTGTAGTGTGCAGAGTTGGTGTTTGTATGTCATTTTTGCATTTGTGTGTAGGTGTATGATTGGATGTAGTGTTGGCTTTTAAATGCATGTGTTTAGTATTGGTGTTTGAGTGAAGGGTGTGTTTGTATATAATTTTGGAGTTTTAATTCAGGGGTGTTTTTGTATGTAATGTTTGGGTTTGCAGGGGTGTGTTTGCATGTTGTGTTGGATACTGAGATGTATACACACACTGCCACATACATACTAACACATTAACATAGATATACACACAAACACACTTCACATATACACACATGCATAAATACACAAACACAAAGATACACACTGACATATCTTGACACACAGATACACACTGGCACAGACACACACACACACACACACACACACACATATACACACACTCAAATACACAGTGACACATGCACACCTTAACACACATATACACGCACACTGACACACAGATACACACACTGGCACATACACAAACTTAAATACACACTAACACAGGTACACACAGTGACACAAACACTGACACAGATACACAAACTCAGATACACACAGTGACATTAATACACCCAGACTTTTTTTAACACACATTATATATATATATATATATATATATATATACACACACACACACACACACACACACACACACACACACTTTAATATTCAGCCACAACTCTTTTTCAATTCAGATGGCAGCAGGAAAGGAAGAGTGAGCACAATATTGTATCCACAGCAGGGGGTAAGAAACGGAGAGAACACTCCCTGAAAATATCCTTCATTCTAGCCAGGCTAGCAGAAAACCCTGATTTGCGCTTCCATACATCTGCATACATCAGTATAGTGGCTAAGACAATGAAACCGTTCTCTGCTCCTTGGTGTTGCTTTCTCCAATGTACAATATCTGGCATGGGGAGCCGATGATGGACCTTTTCAATCCTTGACCCCTTCAGGCATGGGGGGGGGGGAGGTATATTGTAGAACCAGACCCACCTTCTCTGGCCCCATTCCAATTATACAGGTAATACTGCATATTTTCATTGCCTATGCCAAATTTCAATTAAACACATTTAATTTTTCAAATTTGCAGTCACCCTCCTGTTAGCATACCTGTTGTCTGCAGGAGGGTGACTTACTGACTGAGGCTGGTGTGTGTGGGAGGAGTTGATCAATGCTGCTGATGGCTCTCTCCTTCCAGCGCAGCATTTTCCATATGAAGCTGGGAGAAAAAGACCGTCCGTCACTTCCTCCCAGCATCTCATACTACAAAATCGGGGTTCGGCAGTGATTTTCTCATCGATGGGCATTGCTGCAGAAGGACCCAGTCATTGCCACGGCAGATTAATTGCGCGATCGGGTCCTTCTGCAGCAATGCCCATCAGATGGCTCTTATGCCACCCAATGGGCAAATCACAGCAGAACCCCAACTTTTTTCTCGCAGAACCCTCAGGTTCCGTGGAACACCAGTTGGGAAACGCTGCCATAGAGTATTAATAATATACATAATATATATATATGTTTTCTGGCAATCACCCCTTAACATACAAATAAATCAAATTTTGTTAGTCACGCAGACAAGACAATATGGGATTTCAACCATTTCTCTATCTCAAAATTTGCATATTTTAACTAGAACATATTAACTCTATTGTGCTAACTTTTGGAAAACTATCCATGCCACATTCCAAACTATAAACACATATTCATATTTTCTAGGTGATATCGATATAATGGATTGAGATATGGGAGAAACATCTACTTATAGAACAAGGATCAGCCAGCAGCTATTGCGCTTACCTAACCTAGTTATTTTAGAGGTACTCACCAAAACATTTCCAACAAGGTTTCAGGAAATGTAATTTAAACTTATTTTTTGCCTATTTCTTGCACTGCAGTCAATTTCTCACGGTGATTCAATCTTGATGCCTTTTGGAAAAGGATTTTCTAGGACCATAAAGGAAGTGGAAACATGTAGGGTGCCCAGGAGCTTATGGGGTTGGCCAAAGATGGATACATTGTTGCAGAGACATGGGGTAGGGACTATAAGGAAGGGAACAGGGTGGAGATTTACCAGACAGCTAGGAAGAAGTGGAGCAATCCTTGCTTGCTTTCTTAGTCCAGCAGGCCGTTAAAAAAAAAAAAAAAAAAATAGTTTAGCTTGGCATCATGGCAGCAGTTTTGCAGAATGCATTGGTGGCCATGCTCCATGCTTACTAGCAGTCACATCATGTGACATTCTTGGAGGATCTCATTGCCAGCTTGTAGAAGGAGAAGTTGTCCAGAAGCATCCCTGGGAAACAGTCAGATGACCCAAAGATCCAGGCCTCCCTTGCTCCTGAAAGCAAGTCAAGGTTTGGTGCCAGGCAAGGTTGGCACTTTCACGGTGCAGGAATTTGGTGGCATCCAGGCAGCAGAGGAGATTCACTGGGGTCAGAGAGTGGGACTTGGAGCAGGTACACGATGGCAACAGCAATGCTGTGCACTCCAGGTGTCAAGTTATGCAGACAGTGGTGTTCAGGAAATAGTGCCAGAAGAGGAAGAGGCCATACATCACAAAGGCATCAGCATGAGGCAGCACAGGACACTTCTGGTTCGGAAGTGAACAGAGCAGAGTCACCCATGGAGGATCCAGTCCTAAGATCTGCAGTGTCTGTCTGTGAGTATGCCTGTACTAATGAATGGAGCACGCTAGCGAGTCAGGGAGGGTCTGCATGCATTGCTGTTTATGAGGTATTGTGCTTGCTTAGGGCAGTGTTAGATACACACCTGTGTTGAGCCTGGTTCACAGAGAGGTGAGAAACATTGGTTCAGGAGACAGGTGGGGAAGTGTCCAGTGGGTCTTGCCCCTGCAGTCCAGGTTCCGCATTGTCTCTGCTTGGCATACATGTCCCAGTGAAGGTTAAAGAAAAAAATATCTGGGGAGATAATGTGGACCTCCTCTCCCTGAATACTCCAGATAGGAAGTCTGTGGACAGGCTATGAAGAGAAGATTTGCAGGAAGCGGACAAGATTATGCAGCTCCCACACATGTTCGAAAACAGGTTGCAAGGGTTCTCTTTGTTCACTAGTATTTTGAGTAGGAGGCTTACAGAAAGGGCTCCATCCCCTTTTTGTGTACCTGAACTTAATTTGGGGGCAATGTTGATTTCGCTAAGCTCAACTATTTTGTAAGACGATTGTTTCCTAAATGTATTTTGGGGTACAGGACACGTCATTTGCTGTTGCTGATGACCTCAAGCTATCCAGTCCCCTATTCTGGGGCAGCCAGCAAACACACACCCCAACATCAGCTGTGCACAAAAACAGAGTGAGAGCCACTACAGCTGGTACAGCTCCTGCAGATTTAAACATGAATATAAAGATTAACAATGTGATGTTTTAAGCAGGCCAAGCACATCCCCTAGCCATGTGAGGTGCCCTAAAGGGGAGAACATCAGTGACAGTGGAAAGGATGCACCTGTGAATCAAGCAGTACCTTTGATGGAATGAGGCATGGTTACAGTAAACCAGATATACTATCAGGTTTTAAGTCCTGTTAGTTTCTTCTGATTTTCCGGCTTATGCATATAATTTGCATTCCGTGCAGGATTAAGAGAATGTTTTGTGGGAGACGTTGGAAAGAGAAATTGGGGTGACGAATGGCGGGTCCTTTTGATGTCCCACCATTTTCAAACTTAAGGGTTTGTCCACTGGGATATGTGGCAAAGAAAGGTGGGGATATTTTGTCTTATTCACCATTTATTCTATCCTGCATTATTTAAGTGAAGACTTATGACATTGATAGGGAAGCTAGTTGTGTTGGGTATGCATTGTTTAAAAGAGTCCTTGGAGTTAGTGAGAGAGATGAGTGTTGGGACCCTGTTACTAAAGTGGGATATTGAATCCACCTTTCGGCTGCTAGGGGTTCATCCTGAGCGCTTTCACCCCTAGGGGTGTCAGTTTTGTGGTAATTGTTCTATGCAACTGCTTATGATTTTGGAATGGGTTGTGGTGCATATGATCTTGTCGCCAACTCACTACTTGGATGACATTTTGTTTGTGCTTGGATTTGAATTGCTTGAGGACCACTCTGGTATTTCTCTCATCTTTATTGGCCTTAGGGAAGTCAATGTCTGCGGCTGAACAGAGTATGTTGACGTTATCCTTTTTGTTCCGGTTGCTGGGATGGGAAGATGTAACAAAGGAGAATTCTATTTAGCGAATTTTAAAGGGACAGTGGCATAATGGGTGCGTTAATTGGCACCACGAAATTACAGTAGATTTACTTTTTTTTCCATGCTAGAGATGAGTGCATGCTTGTAGTTGTGAAGGGCTGCTTTTTCCAGTTACGTTTGTTATATGCTTTTATGGTGCATTCAGAAAAAGAAAGCTTGTCACTTATTCAATGTTGGTGTTGCAATGTTGCAATTTCTGTGATCTCTAACTGGGAAATGACTTGATGAAATGATCAAAGATGGATCAAGCCAGGGTGGGTGCAATGAGTGGTGAATTTTGTCCAGTTTGATTGGTCAATTCTATTATGAAATTTTGGAAAAAACTAATTTTCAAGGGAGACGTTATCATCATGGGTGACTTTAATCTTCCTGATGTGAATTGGAATACCAAAATAGCTGCTTGTGCCAGGAGCACACATATTCTAAACTCCCTACTGGGATTGTCTCTAAAACAAGTCATTGAGGAGCCAACTCGTAAAGAGGCCATACTAGATTTAGTGTTAACAAATGGAGATTTGGTATCAGATATTACTGTAGGTGAAAGTTTAGGATCCAGTGATCATCAGTCAGTGTGGTTTAATATAAGAACAGTGACTGAGTCACACCACACAAAAACAAAAGTTTTAGACTTTAGAAAAACAGACTTTTCTAAAATTAGCATAGGTGTAAAAGAAATCATTATCAGACTGAAGCAATTTAAATGGAGTCCAACAGAAATTGGATTATTTAAAAGTTGCACTGCTGAAGGCAACAGAAAATTGCATTAGGCTTGTCAGTAAAAGCAAAAACTTTAAGAAACAAAAAGTTAGCATTTAATAATTATAATAAAAAAATAAAAAAACAGAGTGAGTGTGACAGATCCACCTGTCTTTAAAATAATTTTATTCCCCCTTGGTTTGTCTGTTTGTTCGGTTAATTGCCTGTCCGTACACCACGTTCATTTATTTTCCTAACTACCGAATGAACTGCCAAACAGCCAGCCACCCAGCATGGAAGTGTGCTGCTGGTTAACCTCTTGGCCTCAATAGAATGTTGTGGTTAACCACAGACACGTTCTAATTGATAAGGGAAAGCTGGGTCGCCGTCGTTCTTATGCTGAACACGAGGTGGCAGCCTTCTTGGACGTACGAATGCCCAGCGGTGTTTGTCGAGAATCTTATGGAACTAAAAACGTAAACTGAATTACACGAACACCGCTGAAGCTGCTGACCTCTCCTATATGGTATCCTGGTATCCTGTATACAAACACCATCATGTTTGGTAGTTTTAGTTCACGAATGGACTCACCTCAGATAGCTATCCCATGGAGCCTATTCGTATACTGAAATACTATGTGCACAACTTTGGCTCCATGGTGATTGGACTATGTGTATGGGATCTGAGCGCCATTCGGTAATAATGTGCGCTCACATCCAAGCTATCTGAGGATATGTTGAACCCATATATGTATTTCAGTTATTGTAATGTTATATAATTTTATGTATTTTTTTTTCCACCACGTGTAAAATGGAGTTTGGCCTTTATCCTGGGAGATAATTGAGTTACTCCCCAATTATTTCCAGGATAGAGAGGAGGGTTCTGTACAGCAAAAGGGGAGTGTTTATAGCCACACAGTGTTTCTATTGGCTACTGTATTATATTTGTCCCAGTTTTCCCCAGGTCCCCAAGGGGAGTGTCCACCTGGTGGAATACTGCACAAATACCGAGCTGGTAGGCCATATTAAACAGATCTCTGCTTAACCCTCAATATGGAGCTTGGTCTCGTACTTGAGGGTATTGGATTCATATGGTTTACTCGTTTGGCTGTTTGGTTCGTGAAGGATTTTGTATGGTTCCTGTTCGGCTAATTGGAGCTTTCATTAGCTGCTTCTCTATTCAGAAAGGGAACATCTTCAGCAGTAGTAACCCCTCTTATACCTGGGTGTACCGTAACAGTGAGGAAGACAGAATGATCATAGAAGAATAGGCAGAAAGAGGCTAAGCAAGTTATAAGATTTTCCAAATCACACACAGAAGAGAAAATAGCACAGTCAGTAAAAAAATGGGACAAAACGTGTTTTAGATACATAAATGAGAAAAGGAAAGTAAAACAAGGATTAAAAACAAAAGAAGGAAGGTATATAGACGAGGATAAAGGTCTAGCTGACTGCCTCAATTAATATTTTTGTTCAGTATTTACATATGAAAATTAAGGAAAGATGCCTCAGTTAGGAAAAAGGACAAATGAGTCATTTGTTACATGTGAGTTTACAGAGGAAGAGGTTCTATTGCAACAGTCAAGAGTAAAGACAAATAAGTAAATGGGACCTGATGGAATACACCCAAAGCTATTAAAAAACAATGAACATATTTATTTAACCAATCATTGTTAACAGGAGTAGTCCCGGAAGATTTGAAGTTAGCGAATGTTGTGCCCATTCACAAGAAAGGTAGTAGGGAGGAGTCGAGCAACTATAGGCCAGTAAGCCTTACTTCAGTAGTGGGGAAAGTGATGGAAACCATGTTAAAGGATAGGATTGTTGAACATCTAAAAACACATGGATTTCAAGATCAGAGACAATATGGATTTACTTCAGGGAGATCATGCTAAATTAATCTTATTGATTGGGTAACTAAAATAATAGATCAGGGTGATGCAGTAGACATTGCTTACCTAGATTTCAGTAAGACTTTTGACATGGTTCCACATAAAAGGCTCTTCAATAAACTGTGATCTTTAAGTTTGGATCCCAATATTGTTGAATGAGTTAGGAAGTGACTAAATGGCAGGCAGCAGAGGGTTGTAGTCAATAGAGTATATTCGAAGCAAGGTCTAGTTACCTCAAGGATCTGTACTTGGACCCATTCTCTTTAATAATTTTATTAGTGATATAGCAGAAGGTCTTGATGGTAAGGTATGTATTTTTGCAGATGATACTAAGATATGTAACAGGGTTGATGTTCCAGGAGGGATAAGCCAAATGGCAAATGATTTAAGTAAACTAGAAAAATGGTCAAAGTTGTGGTAACTGACATTAAATGTGGATAAGTGCAAAATAAGGCTTAGACGTAAAAACCCAAGGGCAGAGTACAGAATATTTGATAGAGTCCTAACCTCAACATCTGAGGAAAGGGATTTAGGGGTGATTATTTCTGATGACTGAAAGGTAGGCAGTCAATGTAATACAGCAGCAGGAAATGCTTGCAGAATGCTTGGTTGTATAAGGAGAGATATTAGCAGTAGAAAGAGGGAAGTGCTCATGCAATTGTACAGAACACTGGTGAAACCTCACTTGGAGTATTGTACGCAGTACTGGAGACTTATATTGATATTTTAGAGAGAGTTCAGAGAAGGGCTACTAAACTGGTTCATGGATTGCAGGATACAACTTACAAGGAAAGGTTAAAG